ACCTTAACCTCCATGTTGGCCAGTGCTGAATGACTTCACTGTCATTTTATGTGGTTATGAATGATCTAAACTGCAATGTTAGCTTGTCTGACGTCACATCAACCACCATGTTGGCTGATTGGAAATCTACTCAACTGAAAGGTTGATCAGTCCTGGTGACTTTAAACAATATGTTGTCAGGTACTGGATAACCTCAACTCGCATTTTGACTGGTTATTATATAAATGACCTCAATCTCCATGTTGGGTAGTTCTGTTCAACCTCAACCACCAAGGTGCCTGGTCCTAGTATTGAAAAACCTTAATATTCATGTTATCCTGTCCTAGACAACCTCAACCTCCAAGCTGGTTAATCCTAAGTGACCTCTTTGGTCACTGTGGTAGGACTTGGACAACCTCAAACTGCTCCCAAATAACCCCAGTCTCCATTTTGATCTATCTTGGACAACCTCAAGCACCATTTTGGACAACCTGGAACAAATTCTACTGTTATTCAATTTTGTCCTCAAAAACACCACATCTTGTCTGGAAAGTTCTCTCCTTTCTACACAGAGGTACCTTGTGTCTGTTCCTACAACCAGATATCTGCTTCTTCCCTCAGGGGCTCAACAATCTCAACCCCAAATCAGGACAATCGCCTCAATTTCATGTGGCACTACGTTTCCTATTTCCTGAGTCCCAGAAAACTGAAGCTTCCATTCTGGTTGAGGTTTGGGAGCTCTGAGTCCTCCTGTCCTCAATCTCCATGTTGGGTAGTCCTGTTCAACCTCATTTCAGTGCAATATGGGTAAGGATACAGGGTGGTGTCTCTAACAGCCTAGGCAACTCTGCTTCTTTCCCTATCATTTTTCTGCTTGTTACTGGAGATTATGGCTTAGATAACCTTGCCCTCTGTTTATTGGGCCAGACAGGGCTTCAGGGTATCCCCATTGCTGCCTCACCATGACACTCCATGTGACAGAGGTTCTTGGTGGGTGTAACACCATTGTCACACCACCAGGCGGAGTTCAGCTGGAAAATGCCATATTGATTGCTGCCATCAAGGTTGTGGTCCACGACGGAGGTGTCAAAGCCACTCACATAATGTGCCAGGCACAGCCCTGATGCAGAGATAGGGAAGGTAGCAGGTAAGCATGGGTTCTGGAAATAGAAGAGGTTAGGAAGAGGGGGGTGGGGACAAGTATGGTTGTCATCTCAGTTGTGGGGGTGATGATCTTGGTTTGGTGGTGATGTTGATGTTGGTGATTTTGTTGAGATGTCAGTGATGGCAGTGGTTATGGTATTCATGATGGTAATAGTAGCGATGACATTGATGGTAGTGATGGTGTTGATGGTATAAATGAGAGTGATGGCTGTGAAGGCAATGATGATAATTACATTAGAATTAGTTAAACCCCAACATCATACTCAATGGGCAAAAACTAAAACCATTTCCCTTAAGAACAGAAACAAGACAGGGATGCCCACTCTCACCACTCCTGTTTGACATAGTACTGGAAGTACTAGCCATTGCGATCAGACAAGAAGAAGAAATAAAAGGCATCCAAATTGGAAAAGAAGTAAAACTGTCCTTATTTGCAGATGACATGATACTGTACATAGAAAACCCTAAAGACTCCATCAAAAATTATTAGACTTAATAAATGAATTCGGCAATGTAGCAGGATACAAAATTAATGCCAAGAAATCTATGGCATTTCTATACACCAATAATGAACTTACAGAGAGACTAAAAGAGCAATCTCATTAACCATTGCATCAAAAAAATTAAGATACCTAGGAATAACTTGACTAAGGAGATAAAAGACCTATACACAGAAAACTACAGGACACTGAAAAAGGAGATAGAGGAAGACATAAACAGATGGAAGAACATACCGTGTTCATGGATTGGTAGAATCAACATCATCAAGATGTCCATACTACCCAAAGCAATCTATACATTAAATGCACTCCCCATTAAAATACCAACGGCATATTTCACAGACCTAGAATGAACTTTCCAAAAATTCATCTGGAATAAAAAAAGAGCCCTAATAGCTGCAGCAATCCAGAGAAAGAACAACAAAGTAGGTGAAATCTCAATGCCAGATATCAAACTGTATTACAAAGACACTTTTCTCAAAACTGCCTGAGACTGGCACAAGAACAGACATATAGATCAATGGAATAGAATAGAGAACCCAGAAATCGGCCTGAACCAATATGCTCAATTAATATTCGACAAAGGAGGCATGAACATACAATGGAGTCAAGACAGCCTTTTCAATAAATGGTGTTGGGAAAATTGGACAGATACATGCAAAAAATGAAACTAGACCACCAACTTACACTATACACAAAAATAAACTCAAAATGGATAAAGGACTTAAACATAAGATGGGAAACCATAAAAATACTAGAGGCATCCACAGGCAGCAAAATCTCAGACATATGCCAAAGCAATTTCTTCACTGATACTGCTCCTTGGGCAATGGAACCTAAAGAGAAAATAAGCAAATGGGACTACATCGAAATTAAAAGCTTTTGCACAGCAAAATAAACCATCAGCAAAATAACAAGAAAGCCCACTGCATGGGAGAACATATTTGCTAATGTTATCACCGATAAGGGCTTAATCTCCAACATTTACAGGGAACTCATACAGCTTAACAAAAGGAAGATAAACAACCCAATCAAAATATGGGCAACAGACCTAAATAGATACTTTTTGAAAGAAGACAGAAGAAAGGCCAAAAGACATATGAAAACATGCTCAAAGTCACTAATCATCTGAGAGATGCAAATCAAACAACAATGTGGTACCGTCTATCATCAACAAATCAACAAATAACAAGAGCTGGCAAGGATATGAAGAAAAAGGAACCCTCGTGCACTGCTGGTGGGAATGCAGACTGGTGCAGCCACTATGAAAGACAGTATGGAGTGTCCTCAAAAAACTAAAAATGGAACTGCCATTTGACCCAGTGATCCCACTTCTAGGAATATATCCCAAGAAACTGGAAACACCAATCAGAAATGATATATGCACCCTTATGTTTGTAGCAGCACAATTCACCATAGCTAAGATTTGGAAACAGCCTAAGTGCCCATCACCAGATGAGTGGATTAAAAAGCTGTGGTACATCTACACAATGGAGTACTATGCTGTGGTAAAAAAGAAAGAGTTCTTGCCATTTGCAACAGCATGGATGGAACCGGAGAGCATTATGCTAAGCGAAATAAGCCAGTCAGAGAAAGATAAATACCACATGATCTCACTCATTTGTGGAATATAATGAACAACATAAACTGATGAACAAAAACAGATCCAGAGACAGAAAGCATCTATCAGACTGTCAAACCTCAGAGGGAAGGTAGGGGAGGTTGGGGATATGGGGGAGAGATCAACCAGAGGACTTATATGCAAGCATATAGGCCTAACCAATGGACACAGACAACAGGGGGGTGAGGGCATGAGTCGGGGGATGGGGGTAATGTGGGGATAAGGACACATATGTGATAACTTAATCAACAAGGAAACATTTTTTAAAAAGAATTAGTTAAACCACTCATCACAGTCAGTCAGGGGGTGACCAAGAGGATCACCGCTGGCCTGTAGAGGTGATAAATGACAAGAAGGGACTGTATCTGAGTGTGGAGGGAGGC